CCCCCCCCCAAAAAATTGATTAAAAGGGGATTTTTTTCAGATTAATAACGAGAAAGCTTAAAGTTAAAATAGTGCTTTTTATTACTGGTGGGAAAATTAACTTTTGACATTACACTAAAAAAAAATGAACTGATTTTGGAAGCCAACCCTACAGAACGTAGAAATTTCATCTATAAAGCAGCTAAGACCTGGTTTTCTAAAGTCACTTAATTTTTTAAAGGAATGTTTTATCTTGTATTTTTTACCACTCAACAGCACTGTACATAGAATAAGGGTGAAAAATATTTTAGAAAAAAATGAACTTTGTAAAGGTAGTATTGGTAATTGTTTATTTAGTATAAAAGGTTTGTGAACACTGTAACAAATACAATTTTTACAAATCTATTTTTGAAAAGATCTCTCCTTTTGTTCACTTGGGCACTGTAATTTTTATTACTTTGTCAATCAGCTTCTTTACTTCTTCGTGTCTTGTAATTGCTCTGGTGATATAGTCCTGAAGCTTGGCTTCTGTAAGAGGACTTCCACCTAAAAATTAAAGGAAACAACTTGATTTTCTACTTATACTTCAGTTATGTATCTCTAAATGTGATTTCCAAACAAGAGTATTAATACAGCAATTTTTATGACCAACACCTTTCACCTAGGGAGCATGCAGCTTTCCCACCTCCAGCCTCAGGTAAATATTATGGAAACAAACTAGAGCTGTAACAGGAAACATGCTCAAAAACTGTCCTCTGCTGTATGTAGGTCAAGCTGTGACTTCTTTTTGAATTTCAGTCATGCCACCATCTTAAAAACTAATTTCAAGAGCAAGTAATTTAATGAGTATTTGAGCAGATGCTGTGTTTCTATAAAGCCACTCAAATCTTACAAAACAAAGGAGGTACATAGTCTTTTCTTGACCTAAATGTTATCATCTCCATAGGTTTCTTTGCAATAAATTTGGAAGTACCTGGTTTATGGACAAAACAGAGTCTGCCTTCTTCATCAGACAATGGTTACTGTTCCAGTTGCTAAATCATCTTCTTCAGCAGTTGGATCAACAACGAGTAATGTGCTTGTGAAAGAAAAAGGCATGCAGACATGTTTGTACGTATTGCTCCATTACCATTATTGCAAAATACACATAACATTAATTTTTACTGTAGTCTTACAAAATACTTGTAGATGGATTTAGTGCCCAGGCTTACCTGTTTTCTTACCAAAGTGCGTCAATTTTAAAAAAATTAAAAAGTCAAGAAATACGGGAGATTCCACATAATCAAGTGTTTACGTCTATTGAAAATGCAGCTTTATGCCTGAAGTTTCCTAGATTTGTGACATCCATGTATTGCAGGAAAATGCCATTAAACTGCCATTTGAAGGATGCAGTCACTTATTTTGTAGTTACACAAAAACTGCCACAGGATGTAGGCTGCACTAATCTCTACCAGACACCTTAATGCAAAACTCATTTCCAATGGATAGTTCACCAAAGTAGTTCTCAGTTTCTTGTCAGAGAACTCTAATATCACTCAGCCTGGGAATAGTTAAAAAAATGGATTTATGGGGTGTTTGACACCCAGTATAAAATGTTATACATCACGATGTATATCTTTGAGAGATTAAATACTGTTATTTTTGAACCATTTAAGTTAAAAAGAGAGCAAAATCAATGGGAAATCTATAGGATCTAAACTATAAGCCAACTTTGCTCAGCAAGAAAACCTAGAACTTAAAGCTGAATTTTAAAACCTCAGATTGCCATTTAATAGCAATAGTAACAAAAACATAAGTCCTTACCTACCCTGTTCAAAAATGCTGCTTTTTAAAGTCTAACCCCATGCACCGTGACTTATCAGCTCTTTGTGTGATGCGGGGACACATGAAGAGGTCAATGTATCAATTGAACCTGCAGAGGAAAAGTACTGTTCAATAAAATCTATTTTTCATTCAAAGAGTATTAATTAACATCTACCTTCACAAAGTGTTAACTTTCTATCATTTTATACTAAACAGAGGCTAAGCAATGTCTCAAATCCAGAGTGGGATGGAATCTCTCTATATACAAACAGTTAATCACACAGAATGGCTGAGGCTGGGACAGCTGAAGCTCTCCTGGTTCAACATCCCTACTCCAGGAGGACCACCTGGAGCTGGTTGCCCAGAACTGTACCCAGACAGCTTTTGATTATCTCCAAGGAAGAAAACTTCACAACTTCTCTGGCCAACCTGTGCCAGTGCTCCATCACTCTCACAGTAAAAAAATGTTTCATCTTGTTCAGAGGGAACCTCCTGTGTTTCAGCTTGTGCCCACTGACTCATGTTCTATCACTGGTTATTAATGAATAGAAGCTGGCTTTGTCTTTCCCACACCCTCCCTTCAGGTATTTCTATACACTGCCTGGCATTGGACACAATACTCCAGGTGTAGCCTCACCAGTGCTGAGCAGAGAGCAGGATCACCTCCCTTGACCTGCTGGCAATGCTGTGCCTAATGCAGCCCAGGAGAACATTGGCTTCTTTGCAGCAAGGGCACATTGCTGGCTCATTTTGCCTCTGCTCGAGGCAGCTGCCCACCAAGCTCAGAACACAGCAGAAGCCAGGACTCACTGTCTCTCCCAGGATGCTTGGGCATCAATTTTGTGCTGGTCAGCATATGCCTTGATGCTGCCTTCAGCATCTGTAACAGGTACTGCTCACCTTAGACAGAGACAAGATTCCACAGCCACCTAAATTGTGCTGCACATACCCAGACAGGAGTAGACCCGAGTAATTACACTGTGCACATCAGCCCAGGATCAAGACTGAAAACAATGTTAAAGTATATTACTGTACTATGCATTCTCTTTCATGCTTGCTGAAACAGTAAATAAAAATCCTTTCTCTTCCTTGTTTCAAAGCAAGGACCAAGAAAACCAATTAGGAAGTCATTAAGGTCACTATTATAACCTGATATTAATAATACTTCTCCCATTATTATTATTCCAAATAAGCACTTCCCTATGTTGACAGTGGTTGCCCAGAATTCACCTAACTCCCTTCCATCAGGTTGACAGATCTCTTTCTAACCAAAAATTACAAAGTTCAAATTAGAAAACATGTTTTATTAAATAATACAGTAATATTTATGCTATAGGAGTTGATATAAAACAATATTCTCTTCTTTTTAGTAGAAATACACAGCCTTGAAAATGCTAGGGAAAACTTAGTCACAACTCTACCTGGTTTTTCATCAACTGATATGTAGTTTGTGGTTGTAGGTCTGCAAAAAAATCCCTGATTTTTAAATTTTATTATAATTTATTTAGAAATTATAACAATAGATTGATTGTCTCAAAGGTAAGTACTACAGGCTAGACTCAGAATATCATCCAAGAATGAATACTCGTTGGTAACTTAAAATGAGAGTTTCCATCTGTCTGCATTGTTCAGGTTTCATAGGCAATTCCCCTCCTCCATCCCCACCTAGTGGACCTCTTAAAATAATGTTACAGTAAACTAAAGCAAGACAACCCCCAAAAACACGTAACGTTCAAATACCATCAGGCAGAGGCTGTACAACACACGACCCTTAAGTTAGAAATTGAAACAATACTGCATCGTGTTAGATCTGAAGAACCACAAAAAAGAAAAAATTCATTATAAGCAATTTATACAGAGATCTCATGTTTTACTCACCAAAAACCTTCTGTAATATTCCAATGGTTCCACAGTTCTAAAACAAATAGAAAGAGAACTTCACACGCAAGCTCTTGAGTAGGCAAGAGATAGCAAAAAAAATATAAGCAAGCACTAACCCACAACAACAACTAATTTGAGAATCAAGATGCCTGGCAAAGATGCTTCGCAATATGGTTACAGAAAGATGAGGAAACTCTGAACTGATCTAAGATGTTTTCCTATATTCAGTTCCAAAATTCCACCTCCTTACAAGGAACCTGCCTGCAGATGTACCTAACAAGAACTACTAGCTTTCACCTCAATAATATTAGTTATAAATCAAAATAAGTGTTTACTGACAGTAAGGTGAAGAATGGTTTACAAAAAATGCAGAAAGCATGTTATAACTGTGTCTGAAATATCTGTTAGTTCAAGAATCGCATTCAGATGGACAAAATGGTATAAAACAATTTTAAATGCTACAGTTTTTCTTAGAATCTTTGAAATAATATAAAATTACAAAATATGCTTTGTGCAGTGCTTCAGGTGAGAAATAATTAACGCTCATTATTAATTACATACTACTAACAGTGTTCGTGTATTAGTCTTTCAAGTAGGGATCATTAACTTAAAAAAACCCCAACCTTTTTTAAAAAACTGTTGTTAATACCTAAACAAAGCATTCACAGTTTTGTTAAAATAGTGCTTCTGGACGAAAAAACAAAGATAAATGGGAATAGCAGGTTTTCCAAATGCAAACTAACATACAGAGATATCAAACATAATGGTAAGCATGATTTAGCTCCTGCTGGCTCCACATATGTTGGTCCTGTACTGGTTTTCTGAAGTCCAAGGCAAGGTCTATTCTCTTCCAATTCATGTAAAAGCACTTTGCTAAACACTGCTTCATGCATTTAAGACATAAACACAGAAGCAAGAATACTAGAAGAGGTTGCCCAGAGAAGCTGTGGATGCTTCACCCTAGGAAGTGTTCAAGGCCAGGTTGGATGGGGCTCTGAGCAACCTGGTCTAGTGGAAGGTGTGGGGCTGGAATAAGACAACCTCTAAAGACCCCCTCTCACCCAATTCATTTTACTATTCTAAAACGAGAAGTTACAAATGAGAAGCCACTGAATTCTCTACAGTTTTAACCTCCTTGTAATGCTATCAGCTGTGTCAGGGGAGGTTTAAGGTGGATATCAGGAAAACGTTCTTCACCTTTTAGTGGCTGGGTGCTGGAAGAGGCTCCCCACAGAAGTTGTCACAGCACCAAGCCTGACAGAGTCCAAGAAGGTTTGGACAACGCTCTCAGGCACATGGTGTGACTCTTGGGTGTCTCCTGCGCAGGGCCAAGACTTGGACTCGGTGATCCCTGTCGATCCAACTCGCGATACTCTGCGGTTCTGTGACACCAGGTACGTTCAGGCCACACCGAGCTCCGCGCTTTGCCGAGCCTTTTCCCGGCTGGACAACCCGTGCCCGCTCAGTACCCCCCAGCACACGTCGGGGCTCCGCAGCCTCCTCAGCACCGACCCCATCCCGGGGGCCGCGCCGAGCCCGCTACCCCGTGCGCGCTGTGGCGCGGGGGGGG